TTGAGTCCCAGCCTTGCTATTGTCTGAGGAGCAGACAGAGTCTGTACTTTCACTTTCTTTTGTTCTTGCCTGAGGATGTATACCCAGCATGACTCTCCATAGACTCTAGCCCCACATCTAGTCAGCAATCAGTCAAGCACTGTAATAGAGTTTCACATTCCTTTACCGAGATTAATGGGGACGCATCTCACATTCAGGTCTTTCACATTTACTTAAGGTCCAGGGATGCAGAATTTTAATTGATATGAAAAGACAGCAATCATTAACTATAATAACATTGCTAATTATTGACTGCACACATGCTCTCAGTGAACTTTCCAACCAGACAGATTCCAGGCAGCACTTGAAAGAATAGACTGTAGGCGACATTAATTAACTTATAAGAATTAGACATCATATCACTGAAATAACCACTTCAGTACTTGGATGCCTCATTTGTTTAACACATTATAAAAAATGAATAATGAAACAAAAAATATAACCCAGTGTGTATCGGCTGTTTATGCTATATTATTACACACTTTAGTTTGACATTAAAATATCTCCCTCTGTCACTCACATCTACTGACATGCAGGAGCAACTGCAACACTACGACTTCAGCAAGTTCCCTTCTTTGAAGGTGAAGTTGATTGAATCCGTGGACAGAATGTTGTCCACCAAGATCTCAAGCCTGATGAACATGATCCGAGAGGAAGAAAGCAAGCAGCCTACTCAGATGGTAATGGGTGGAGCCTTTGAGGACTCGTCCGACGGGCCTTTCGGCCACGGCTATGGTGAGGGTATCAGTGCAGGGGCTGATACTGAGGACTGGATTGTGAGTCGCGACAAACATCGCTACGATGAAATCTTCTACACACTGATGCCTATCAATGGGAAAGTAACTGGCATCAATGCCAAGAGGGAGATGATGAATTCTCGTCTGCCCAACACTGTACTGGGAAAGATCTGGAAGCTGGCAGACTGTGATAAGGACGGCATGCTGGATGATGAAGAATTTGCTCTTGCTCAGCATCTTATTAAAATCAAACTGGAGGGATTTGAGCTTCCTATAGAGCTTCCAAATCACCTAGTACCTCCATCGCACAGAAAGGACCCCACTGCAGACATCTTGTACAACCACCAGGAGGATTGATCACATTCATATCTGTATATTTATCAGCCAGCTGCTAGCACAAAGTGGCCTTTGAATATTGAAGTCTTACTTCATTGAAAGGGATGAAGTTTTATTGGTTAAGCCATCTTTCATCTTCAGCAGTGCTGTTAAAATTAGACATGTATGACTTTAACATGCCTAAGATTGAGTATGTTTTAATATAAGTGCACTAATTCAGTGTTTTGAAAGACATACATATTTTTGAAAGGCATACAAATTTAAATTACAGCCCATATAATTGTGATTACTTCTAAATCCATGACCTTGTTATTTCACCATGTGCTTGCAGATTGTGAAAATGGATGGCAGTGCAGTTTCAATATTATATTACATTTCATATTAAATAACAATTTTGGTTAAGTATGCATGACAGCAGCCAAAAAAATACCCATACATGACACACTATCACAGAAGCACTGACAGAAGTATCCATTCATTTCACTCATTCTGACAGAGTGTGAATATCTATTAAATTAATTTCGAAACACACATTCTTTTTTTTTTTACTTTAATCTTTTCCTTGAATGTACATTTTTGTATGAACTGGAAAAAAATACTACATACAGGGTTTACAGGGTCCTTAAAATGTCTTACATTTAGTTCTAGCCTATTGAATTTAAGGCCATAAAAAGTCTTAAATGTTACAAGCAAGTTTTAATTATGATTTCAAGAGGTCCTAAATTTGTGGACGGAAAGACTAGAATTGTGATATGGCTGAATGTGACTATTAAACTTCAAAAGGCTTTGATTTCATTAAATAAACATGAGAAACCACTATATTTCTGCCTTTTCGAAAGTGCCTCCTGCTGGCAGAAAATGAATTTGCATTTTCAATAAGCCGTT